AATCCTGTCTCGGAGCTCTATGGACAATTCCTTTGACCTCATGGCTTGGTTTTTGCTCTGACATGCACTGTCAACTGTGGGACCTTATATAGACAGGTGTGTGCCTTTCCAAATCATGTCCAACCAATTGAATTTACCACAGGTGGACTCCAATCAAGTTGTAGAAACATCTCAAGGATGATCAATGGAAACAGGATGCACCTGAGCTCAATTTCGAGTCTCATAGCAAAGGGTCACAATACTTATGTAAATAAGGTATTTCTGTTTTTTCTAAAAAACCTGTTTTTTCTTTGTCATAATGGGGTATTGCGTGTAGATTGCTGTGGATTTTTTATTTATTTAATCCATTCTAGAATAAGGCTGTAACGTAACAAAATGTAGAAAAAGTAAAGGGGTCTGAATACTTTCCCAAGGCACTGTGTATGTGCTGTGAGTAGGTGGCACTAGACCGGCCTATGGCACGACAAAGACGTTTGATATGCTATGTACAGTATGTTTGAAAGGAAAAAGTCATATCAGGGACGAATAAAATTTAAATACCTAGATGGGATGAAACTTACCAAGAGAAGTGAATGTAGTTGTCTTCGTGGTTTGAGGAACAATCTGTCCGCTCTCATCCCTTTGTCTCCATCTGAACGTAATCCCCGTAGTGCATTTCAATTATCATGGCTGGCCCACTAATAAAAGTCTCCCATAAGCATGGCTTGCTTGCACACATATGGAGCACAAGCAAGACTTATTTTCACATAAGGTGAAGTGATTTGTCAGCTGAGGAAAGGCACCTGCAGCAGACCCATGTTTTGGGTCACACACACAGCAAACTTTCTTGCACATGTGTAGATGTTCACAAGGATGCTAACAAGTGCACTGAGTCTCCGTTTAAATTGACATTTGTTCTCAATAATAAGTGAGAATGATATCCAAATATATACAAGTAACGTTAATGCAACAAACATATCCACACATTCTATGTTCTCTATGCAACCTTCTTTATTCACCTTAGCTATGTAACCTTACTGGTTTAACAATTGTTTACAACCACACACTTTTACCAAACACAAAACAAATGTGTATGCATCCTGTACTTCTCACAACAAGGGACGAACTGGTGACCTACCTGCTATCTGTCCAGGGTCTGCGAAATCTGGTGTGGCCGAAAAATCTATAAAAAGTCAACATGACCTGATGGGTTAACTTTTCTTGTTTTCTTGTAACTTTCCGGTAGGCTAGACGCTTTCCGGCGTTTTGCTGCCTTTCACATGTCAATGTAGGTATTACACATGATTTATCGCTCTCATAACTGTAGGTGCAGCCCAGTGGAAAGCCAAAAGCTTTCTAGCTATTTCGCAATGACGGTCATTTTAACCCAATATAGTTTCTAGTGAAAGGTGGTTACACTCAGAGCCATGTTTATTTAGACTCAGCCAGCTCACAGTACAATTCCACGCAATCCTTCTTACGGGTTAACGTTTTGGTTAGCCAACAATATTTTAAGACTACAATGACTGAATACATTTCCCCACATTTGATACAAAAGGGAAACATTTTTTTTATTGGTATTGATGAACAATGGCAAGGATGCTGTTGTATTTTCGGTTACATTCTGGTCAATAAAAATGATTTACACGTTCGTTTTTTGTCAGAAATACATGGAACCGCAACCAAATAAAACACCATTAGCCATTGCTTAAATTAATTATATTCTGAAAAGTATGTTCAGAAAAATTGCAAACAGTACATATTGGCATTCAACTACCATTTTTTAAAAGGGATTAAATAAAGACAAAATGTCTGTATATTCATTACGTTAGATTAGCCATCATGAAGAAAAAAAGGAAATATATGCTATCGGAAATATATGCTATCGCGTTTATGGTTGTATCAAAGGCTTGTGTTTTTCTGCCTTTCTAGGGAGTTTTTCCTAGCCACTGTGGTTCTACATCTGCATTGCTTGCTGTTTGGGGTTTTAGGCTGGGTTTCTGTATAGCACTTTGTGACATCTGCTGATGTAAAAGGGGCTTTATAAATAAAATTTGATTGATTGTAGCCTACTGGTTAAATTTGTGTATTTTGTCACGAATTAAGCCAAACAAAAACGCACAAAAATGCACGAAATCTGCTGCAATAGTTTTTGTACATATTTGCACGTGTGAGATTGTGTTTACCGAAGATTTAAAATGTGAGTCCTCTAATTTGATAAGTAAATAATTTTCCCTTTCTGGTTTATCATGTTGGTTCCCAGTGTCTGGAATATAATTTGTAATCATCACATCAATGTTGACTGTTCTCTTCATCCTCTGTTTGTGATTTTCCTCTTGTAATTGAAATATGTATTTTTGTTTTACTGAGTCTGTCAAATTCCCCAGGTCCTGAGTATTCCATTTCAAGAGACAAATCCAACCCCAAATTGGAGTGCCCTGAAAGGCCTTTATGTATCTCCCATATTGGTTCTATGTGTTGAGTAATTCTCAGCTCTTTCTGTTGGTATTCTACTACATTGTGGTCTGTCCCAACATTAACCTTCCCCTCTAGCATCACAGACAGGAGTGGTTCTACTTTCGGCTTTGTAGAAGTTACAGACATATCTGTAGAGATCTTTTTCAGTCTTTTGATATGGAGATTATCTGCAATGAGTCCATGAGTATCATTTAACATAGTTTTTACTCTTGTTAGTTTTTGTGTTTTATTGTAGCCTGGTCCTGTGCAGTTTTCCTCACCAACTATTTTACAGGGGTTCCAGTCATGAAGACATTTGCCAGTGCCTTTTCAAGTTCATCACTGCTTATCTGAGTCAAATTTGCAGTCTGTTTTTTCTTGACAATTGTTTCTTGATATGTTTTATGGATTTCACTGTAATGGTATGCATTCCAGAATACACTGAGTTCATTGGTCATGTGGCTTCTCCATTCACTCCCATCCACTGGTAGAACTCCACTCACCAAGTTATTGACTTGAGATGTTTGCCAGATAGTTTCTTCTGCCATATACTTTTTAAACTGGGGTCAGGTTCCTTCCTCAAGACAGTGCTCATAACCTTAAAAGATAATTAAATCTTGTCAGCTAGAACAAGTTTCACCACACTGTAAATTCAGAACTACACATTTTTAAGCAATATTATTCAATCTGTGTCTAGTTTGGTGACAGTGTTCAATCACAATTTCTTCTAAATGTGTGACTGAAACATTACAAACAGATTTTGTTCTGAGTGTTTGTGAGTAATTTTCCACTTTTAACTTTGAAATATTATAATGACAGGCCTATATATAGGCTTAATATAGATTTAAACTAAATTCATCCCCAGCTTGTTCAATTTATGTAAAGAAAGAAGATAGATCTGTTGAAATAATTACGTACAGTTGCATTGATGTACCAGCTGGCCATTTTCTTCTGCAAGTCTTCGATTGAGATGTCTTTAGATCACTGCTCTTCAGTCCTGTAAACCCAGTATTTGGGGACGTTTCTACTATCAACAGCCACGTAAAAGCAGATGTTCCCCAAGCAGTGGCAAACATATTCCATTTGAACCGGTGACTGAGCAAGCAAACAAGAAACATTGAGAAATGCCCCCATACAATTATCCTGATCGAATATGCCATGGGAATAAGTTAGCCAGAGACACAATGAGAACATATTAAGCTGCTGCTACTTGTTAACAGACATCTCATTATCTCTCAATTATCATTCTCTTCTAGACTTTGAATATGAAAATTGGAGGGGCGGGGGGCTGCTGCATCATTCGTGGGGGACAACGTTACCTTGTTTTATCTTGTTCTTGTACCATGTTTTGTTTTGAGGCGTGTTGACTGATGTCACGTCTATGGCAAAAATTTGCTAGCTAGCTAACCAACAACTGTAACAATGTATTTAAGAGACAACGAGTGCTCATTGTGCAAATGTATTTATGTTTTCAATAAACATTTAAACAAAATATAGTTTACAGGTTGTCAACAATCTTAGCCAACCCCGTCTGTTTTGCCCCATAGTTGCGCATGGGTCGGTTTTGTTGCTAACCCGTCAGTCATTTCCACAGATTACATTGTTAAACATTGCCACATCAAACAAACCTAGCCTGAGGAAAACTAACTTACAAAAGTGATTTACAAAAGTTACTAAATGAACAGGCATATTGAGTGTATTTTCAACAGGCATCATAAATGCAAGTACAACACAACCGGTGTGAAACTGCTGTAGGCCTACTTCTGGCATATCACTACACTCTTAGAAAAAAGGGTTCCAAAAAGGTTCTGCGGTTGTCCCCATACGAGAACCCTTTTTGGTTCCAGGTAGAACTCTTTTGGGTACAATGTAGAACCCTCTGTGGAAAGGGTTCTACATGGAACCCAAAAGGGTTCAACCTGGAACCAAAGGGGTTCTACCTGGAACCAAAAGGGGTTCTTCAAAGGGTTATCCTATGGGGACAGCCAAATAACCCTTTTTGGTTCTAAATAGCACCTTTTTTTCCCTAAGAGTGTAGCAATATGTTGTGAGGTTGTGGCATATGGGGCTTTAGACCAATGTATTTTAACCTACTTTTTAGGTTGCATGTGTAGCCTACAATATTCACACTGAATACTTCTTAGCTAGACAACCTCAGGCTGATGGTTCATAGCTAGCTAGTATTTTTCTTGCTAGACCTGTTTGATATCCTGATAAAACACTCTTTTGTTTGGACATAATTCATGCTCAATTTTTATCTTTATGACAGGGTGCATTCTGACCCCTCCCCATCCCTGTGCTCTAAGACCATACGGGCCCTGGTCTAAAGTAGTGCACTATAGGGTGCCTTCTTGGATTCACACTATTGTACAAATAAAGAATAGTAAAAATAAAGAAAAACCCTTGAATGAGTAGGTGTGTCCAAACTTTTGACTGGTAGTGTATGTCAGTGTGTGGTCTATTAAGACATGTTGCCATGAGATAAAGACAATTAAGACAAAGCTTAAATTGCAACTTATATCCAGGTCAAGTGAGTTTTTTCCATTTTCTTTCTGTACCTATAGGAGTGGTGTGGTACCACTTTCCCCTCACATGGGGGCAGGATAAGCTGCCCTGTATGCTGCTGCATGATGGTGGCATGCTTCTGGCTCTGGTCTGCTCTGTCCTGGGGCTCTGTGCTGTATTTGACGTCCACAACGCCAAAGACATTCCCAACCACTACTCCTTGCACAGCTGGATTGGCATTTGCACTAAAGCACTCTTCACCGCTCAGGTTTAGTATATGTGCCACGGCCAACACACACATTAAAACGGCCTTATCATAAAACAACTGTGAACTCATATTAGGCCATATTATGGCCTACTTGTATTATTCCCTACTTGGCATGTGCAGTGATTGTTAGAATTGTTATGCCATTTTCTATGGCTGTGAGAGGCTGACATATGTTTGTTTTGTTTTCAGTGGGTGGTGGCCCTTGTTGGTTTCCTCCTGCCCTGCTCACCCATGCTGCTGAAACCTGCCGATGTGTGGATGGGAGACAGCATACTGATAATCAGCATCGTGTCCTGCATCTCAGGGATCAACAATAAACTTTTCATTGTTAACTATGTGAGCCCATATTCTTATAGTGTCTCAGATTGTGCTGATCTAGGATCAGGCAGTGGTGGAAAAAGTACTCAATTGTCATACTTGAGTAAAAGTAAAGATACCTTAATAGAAAATGACTCAAGTAAAAGTGAAAGTCACCCAGTAAAATACTACTTGGGTAAAAGTCTAAAAGTATTTGTTTTTTAAATATACTTAAGTATCAAAAGTAAATGGAATTGCTAAAATGTACTTAAGTATCAAGAGTAAAAGTATACATCATTTCAAATTCCTTATATTAAGCAAACCAGACGGCACAATAAAAATATATATATATATATTTATGGATAGCCAGGGGCACAGTCCAATACTCAGACATCATTTACAAATGAAGCATTTGTGTTTAGTGAGTCCGCCAGATCAGAGACAGTAGGGATGACCAGGGATGTTCTCTTGATAAGTGTGTGAATTGGACCAGTTTCCTGTCAAAATGTAACGACTACTTTTGTGTGTCAGGGAAAATGTATGGAGTAAAAAGTACATTGTAGGAATGTAGTGAAGTAAAAGTAAAAGTTCGCAAAAATATAAATAGTAGAGTAAAGTACAGATACCCCAAAAAAACTACTTAAGTAGTACTTTAAAGTATTTTTACTTAAGTACTTTACACAACTGGGATCAGGTCCCCCATGCAATCTTATAAATTGTGATGTAAAAGGCAAAACTGATCCTACCCTGTGACTATGAATATGGGCCCTGATTAGGTTTATTTCCATTTTTGTATTCAGGACTTGGAGGAAACAATGTACTGTATAAACATATTTAAATAATGTACAGACAAAAAAATGATATCTAGCTGTGTTGACAATATTGCAAAAATATTAAAAGTGTTGATTGATTATTAATTGATTATTTCTTCAGAAAAGGAACTTCAAATGGCACACAGCCATATGCCAACCTGCCACCTGAGGCATTGGTCGCCAACCCGTTAGGAGTCTTGATTGTAGCCTTTATTGCTGTTTGTATTGTTTTATAAGTACAGTATTGTATTGAAAGACTTATGAACCAACCCTATTTCATCTAAAACAGATTCATTATTTGAGTTAAATTTTAATACCTGTGTTATATTCCTATTTTATATTCCTACTGGGTGAACATTTATTCACTGATGTATTCAACTCCTTTGTTATTTTTTTTTACAAACAGCCACTGCTTCAAGATGACAGCTAATAGAAAGAAGAAAGTGAGGAGGCTTCCAACCTGCTCTCAACTGCTAATCACACTCTGCAAGCTATCCATCACTGTTATCTGCCCCTGCTGGGTCCAACGTTTCCTTAATCAAATGATGAGATGCTGAATGTACTAGCCACTGTCAGGACAGTGTTGTAGGCAATAATTATGTCCCATCAAGATATACATATTTACTAAAGAGTAGATTTTACATTGTTGCCTTGTTTTTACATTAATACAATACATAAATGAAGTATGATGAACCTAAAGATATCACTGTTTCAGCATTTCTTTGTGACTGCCATTGCTGTTGGGCATGGAATTTAGGCTAGTCTCATCATTAAAGCTACAGTCTGGGATTTGGGAATCAGTTCAATGGTCATTTAAATTATTTATATTGACCATTCCATATTTGGCCGTACAAACAATCAATATGTTGTGTTCTTTTGGCGTAGAGAAAACTACAGCTAGAGTGGGCCTATTCAAGAAATACTAATTTGACATGAGGGCTATATCATTTGCACATGGTGGTAGCACTTTACCAAGGATCAGTACAAAGAGTAACTATCAGATGCTGTCGCGGACTACATGGCATTGGTGCATACAGTAGGGCGGCTATACAAGTGCACAATGGACAAAACATGTGTGTCTTTGCTTTCTGCCAACCATTCAAGTCATGATAAAAGTGTGCTTTTTTGGTTCTGGGTGCCAATTTGTACCAATGTGTCACAAAATGAGGGTTGTTGAGTTGGAATTTTGCTGTCCTTCTGCGATGCTGTCGCGTCCCACTGTCGCTCCAAATACCCAGGAATTCAGGCTATTCCACTTCCAGCGCTCACCGCTCAGGCCATTGGTGAGGTCATTTCAGCAGTGGGCGTAACTGGGCAGATCCACAAGGCATACATTTGTCGGAAGCCGCAATGAAATTGCAAGGGGGAGTGAAAGTTTAGCGGGGAAAACCATCCGAAAGTCACGTAGCAATTCTTGTAGAGTAAAAAGATAAATTCGTGACTTAGGCATCATATCAGGCAGCCATATATAGGCTTCAATAGGATCAAGATCATTTTATGAAAATCGTCTGTGGTGAGAGCTTTTTTTTTTAAGTAAGTGGAAATAACTTGAAAATTGGGTTAATGCAACAATTATTGAAGGATATTACTGGAAAAATGTGTTTGATAGGGTATTTGGTCTTTGTGCTTCTCATTAAATTAAAACAAATTTGGTCTACTTATGCTTATGCCACGTATAACCAAACACACTCTGATTTCATGTTGATAATGACATCTGGTTGTTAATGGTTTCTGTGTCTAGACTTTTGTATTTGCAATATGGATTGTAGGGTATACTGAGAATACATCACAATCTGTTTCACAATGTTCCCAAATAAGGATGCCAGCATATTGTGGGAGTGCTGATATGATTTATGCCAGGTATGGATAGTTGTGGGGTTTGTGTGGGTGCCATGTGTAAGGTGCACAGTATTCAACTACAGTTTAGTTGCAGTTACTTGGGGTGAGAGAAACAAATGCCTCTGCTTTTGTGGACACTGATCTTACTGATTTCTCACTTCTGCCAATGATGATTTGTGATTGCAGTCTAGCTCAGTTGGTAGACATGGCGTTTGCAACACCAGGGTTGTGGGTTCGATTCCCACGGGGGGCCAGTAGGAAAATGTATGCACTCACTAATTGTAAGTCGCTCTGGATAAGAGGGTCTGCTAAATGACTAAAATGTAAAATGTATATAGCCTATAGTAGTTATGTAATTAGGTTGCAGAGAATGTTAGTTATATGGCATACCTATGTATTATTACCTGGATGTGCTGTTCTGTGCTATAAATCAATGGCATGTGCCAGGAATTCTCTGGCTTGATTCTAGTTTACTGTCTTGTCCTTGAAGGAACAGTGAATAACTATTCAAGTTTATGGTTTGGTTAACTTTGGTAACACTTTCTATGAGCTGCCTGTATGTAATGCATTTATAGAGTATTCTCTCACCATCTCATAGTGCATGATAAGACTCCTTTCAGTGCTTCTATAATTATCCAGTTAATTCTTCACATTCTAACGGTCTGAGCAAGGTATTAGGAAGGCTCCAACTCTTTGCTCTGACCTGACATATTGAACCCGGAACCTTCTCCTTATGATGCCCTACTGTCCGTAGTCAGTGGAAATTATGTGTCTAGCTGTTTCGAGGGGAAACATGACAAGAAAAAATGAGTGCCCCTTTTTTCGATGTGTCAGCATGGAATTAATGTTGTCTTTCTTTTTTTTAAAGCAGTGAAAGAAGCGTTCTAGGTGGTTGATGGATGCTGCCGTGTTGAGTTTCTCTGCCTGCACATATTGGTTTCCACTTAAGACCAAATGGAGGCAGAGCTTCCTGGATACCCTGCTTTGTTTGATTGGCGGGTGCTAGATGACTTCTGTTTGATCCAAGAGGTCACCATTTCATGGGGTGGTCCATCTTATACTTTTGAATCTTTACCTTACATTTGCTCTAGGAACTTTTTTTGTGATACTGTACTGCACTCCACTTTGAGCCCCTAAATCTTTGAGTGCTGGAGCAGGATGGAGTTTAAATGAAAGATATGGTCAAGTATCTTAGATTACAGATCACATTAGTCATACAGTACTGTAGCTTCTGTGTGTATCTTATTCATGTGGTTTAATGAAAACATCAGGCTGGTTATGAGGCCTACGTGGTGCTGTGAGGGGATGCAGACCCTGTGGGCTTGATTCCAGCTGTTGGGCTTGATTTTATAATGTCTATGTTTTGTTACTTGTGTAACCAACAGCCCACGTTACATTGAGGAAAAAAGAAAGATGCTGGTAAATGGAAAGATCCAACTCCCACTGCCAGACATACATAACCTTTAGTTTACATCACTTGAAAGCCACTATATTGTTGAATTGCTTAATGCTTTGTGTGAAATGTTGCTGCAGTCTTGAAAGGAGGTATGCTTTTTAATTAAAACCATATCTCATGCATACAGTATATTTTAATGTAGTTGATACTGGTTATGAAACCATGACTTGATTTAGCCGCTATTGCTCAGGTCTTTGATGATAGGCTATGTGTTCTACAGATGTACATTTGGGGGTTTAAATGTTCTTTCTTACTGACTCTAAAGGGTCCAAGAGGCCTGGGGAAGTTCATATTAGAAAAGTAGGTATGGGTGGAGCGCTGATTACCAGCGGCTGCTGGCTGATTGGCTGTGAGTAGACGTAGATTTTTCAAAAACAACCACCCCTTCCATATCCCTCTTCAGGGGTGAAAATTATCCAGAGTAAGCTAATTTACTGTGCTAGCATTGCTAGCATACTATACTGTATTTTTGTAATGTATATTTCAGAAATTGTTTTTATTTAATTTTTTATATAATTTGGTTGAAATGACACTACCCCACGTGGGCACCAGTGAAAATTATTGGCTTTCGGTTTCGAATCTCCACCTCTGTTTGAATGTGCCTATTCAAAATTTTTGGGAGAACTTTCACAGGCTTTCATAATTCATTCTGAAGGGGAGATGAAAGGTAGCGGCTGATAGAAGCTACCCCAAGCCCAACTCTGTTTCCCCACACCTAGAAAACATTTACCTCAATTGACCCTTCGCTAAGCCCCACCCCAGAATTTTGGGTAACCAATCACAGCGCAATGGATAGCAACTTTCATCAGTCCGACACCTCGGACAAGCTCACGTTTCAAATCATGAAAGCCAGTGAGGGCTTTTCTTTTAAAAATGTAGTGTTTAAATGGCTCAATAATTTAACAGTGCACCAGGGGTACTTGCTACTGTGATTCCTGAAATGCAGAGCCTGTTCTAATCCAAAATTATATTTTTGTTACATTGTTTGCTAGCTCATCTGGTTAGCTAGCTCTCAGATCACCAAATGTTGATTACGCTAGCTAGCTAGCCTCTTAAAGTACCACATTTCTTAACTGCCCAGAGCTTACCCATGGTGTTGCACAACGATTGATGTCAATAAGTCAAGGTTTTAGTCAAAGTATGATATATTTGGTCTTTTTTTCTCGAGTCAATGCCGTGTGTTTCCCCTATGATATGACATACTAATACTTTTTAATCTACATGTATTTTCAGCCAAAGCCTGCACTTGGCCGCCTGAACTATGGAGCAAATTAAAATAGGGGGTGCAAACCTATGTTTTTGCACCTCCACTTTTTTACCAGAAAATGTACATAATCCATTGGATAATTGGTCAATTTTCACTTATTTTTTAGCTAGTCAGTATTAAATATACAATATATACAGTGCATTCGGAAAGTATTCTGACCCCTTTACTTTTTCCACAAGTTGAAAAAGTCAAGTGGTCTGAATACTTTCCGAATGCACTGTATAATCATATAAATCTATGTAACTTCAGTGATTTGGTCAAATTTAACAAAGTAAAAAAGTAAGTTACTTGTTTCATAAATTACGTGAGTAATTGTACAAGTACAGCCCACAGAGAGTAGCAAGAAAAGGACTATTTCCACCCAAAATGTACTTAACCTTTTACTGCAGTGGGCTGAATCAGGGTCACACAGAGTGATTCTTGGTAGTCTTAAACAAATCTACTTTGAAACAAAAACAGAACATTTGCTGTTATTGGCAAAGAGGTTTGTAACTCTTTTCTTGTTGGTCTATTAACTAATTTACTGCATGGTGATGTCACCATGGAAGGCCAAAACTCCCTCCCACCAAAACAGGCTGAAATTTTAGGTGGTCTTTTCAAATAGCTCTTATAAATAGCTCTTACACTAAAAGGGCATTATTATCATTTTCACAATTTCACAGTATTTTTCCAAATTCATAGTGTGGAAATATATATAAAACACATGGGCCTTTAAGTACATGTAATGCGTTACTTGTAGCATGTTACTACCCACCTCCGCTTGTTAGCTCCAAAAGTGGTTAGTAGCTTTGACTGCTTGCTGACAGTGAATGCAGAGCCATTCAGTGGCTAGCTACACTACAAACATAATTTTACGAGGTTCCCGTGAAGCAATTGTAATGACAGTCCACCACAACATACCCAAGTGTCTCCTGATTAGCAAGGGGTAGTCTGTGTTTAATTTCATTGCGTTTTAAAAACACAGTTTGAGATCATTGGCTTCCCAGGAAAATGTTGTCCGAGGTTGCAACAGTAACCAAGAGCGTGGGGCTTAGCGAAGGGTCAATTGGCGTTACTGTAATTATTTGAATGTAGGGGAAGCACTGGCTGCCCTCAGTTATCTCCTTTGCTGCGATCCTGAATTCCAAACCCCCATGCAGTCTTCCTGTGAAAAACCATATGACAAAGTAGCCAAAGGAATTTTAAATGGGTAATGTTATTTTCCTACTCTCTGCCTACTCTCCCACAGATAACCTCTTCTGTCTACTGTCTGACTTGACAGACACTACCATGCTGGCCGCCTGGTCGCTCCCCTGCTGCTTCACCATCCTGTTGGGCCTGTTAGAACTGTGCCGGGCCCAGTACGAACACCTAGGCTACCCACACGGCTATCCACAGGGCTACCCAGAGCCCGAGCAGGAGCAGTACACTGCCCCGGAGCTGCAAGCTGACACACCCAGGATACAGCTGCGTTTGGCGGGGGACAAGCGCAAGCACAATGAGGGGCGCGTGGAGGTTTTCTATGATGGCGAGTGGGGCACAGTCTGTGATGATGACTTCTCCATCCACTCTGCCCAGGTGGTGTGCAGGGAGTTGGGCTACCTGGAGGCTGTCTCCTGGTCTCCGTCCTCTAAATATGGGAAAGGAGAGGGTAAGATGTCCATTATTGCACTTCAAACCATTATACGTGTAATGATAAGGGAAAGGGGAAATAATTGACTATTTTAGGGGATGTTTTTTTATTGGCCAGGTTTAATCAATTTTCCCACTGAAGCTTTTCAATAGTACATTTGGATTTATATTTATTCTGAGATATTTCACTGACAGGCCGGCTTACCATGAATAAATGCTGGATGTTTTGGATTACCGGTAGTTCTCTTTGTCTACGTTCTGACTCATCTTTTACCAAAATGAATAAGGCACATCTGTAGTGGAGATACATTAGGAATAAGGTAGTGAGTGTACAATCTCAGCAGCATAATTGCTGTCATTGTGCAGTCCACTTTGCTAAAGTTGCTTGGCTGTTTGACCTTGCTAGCTACCACTTCTCAGGTGAAAGAAAGATTTATCCCTAATGTGTTGAGAATCCTGCTGTTTTTCAGGGCGCATCTGGTATGACAATGTCCAATGCACTGGGAAAGAGAAGACCCTGGCACTGTGCACGTCCAACGGGATTGGTGTGTCCGACTGCAAGCACACAGAGGACGTAGGCGTTGTGTGCAGTGACAAAAGGATCCCAGGATTTAAATTCATCAACACCATGGCCAATAATGTGGAGGTAAACAACCTACCTACTATAAAGCCTGTCTTAGTTAGACACAAAGGGGTGGTTTCCTGGACACAGATTAAGCCTAATCCTGGACAGAAAAAAAATATTAAATGGAGATTCTAGGACTAGGCTTAATCTGTGTCCAGGAAACGGCCCCAAAGACACTTGCCTTTGGTTGACGTTGTTGACTGATTTTTTGCACTGTAATGGGCCAGAACATTTGGTTCCTGACTGCTCGTAAGAGAAGGCCCTCACAACTGGTCTTATTGAGCTGGTTCTGTGCAGAGTGGAGACACACCTTTTGACAGCATCTAAGTAGTACATGTGGCTTTTCAAAAAAGTGAATAGTCAAGTCAAAAATAAATTGTGAACCCAATGACCACATGTGAAGTTTTTCAAAGAAAGTGAGGCTACTGGTAACTAACTAAATAAGTAATCATAGGTGTTGCACTCATAACTGTCACTGTAATCCTGCTGGGCTCTTAAAGGCTTCATTTTGCACCTCATGGTGGTATGTCCTATAAGCCTACAGCTAATTGCCACCAAAGGTGTTATCTTGTTGCTTTGCTCACTCTGCAGGCCCTCAAGTGTTCACATTCCAATCTTATGAGGGGAGTGCAGACCAGAGCTCTCCGAGTTTCAGCTCAAACCATAAGACTCTATTTTAAAAATGTCTCTGAAATCAAGTGATGACGGACAGCACAGTAGAGTAACAGCTGGATGTCTCAGGGTGATTCTGGGTTACTTATTTGACAGTAGAACATTTAGAAAAATATGCACATCCAACATCCAAATATGCACATCAGGTGCAGGACAGAAGAACGTATCAAAGAAAAAAGAAATGTCCACAATTCTGGTATGCTCCCATGGTGATTTAATCAGAAGCACAAAAAAGACAACATTTAGATCCGGAGTTGGATCTTCGTCAGGTCATCTGATGATGGAAACGTTGTCTTTTTTGTGATTAGCGATCTGACATGCTGTATATTGCATGGAAACGAGACAATTGTTCAGCCAGATCAACTGTAGGCTACTAACAACAGCAGCTGCATAGTCTTACTCTAGCCTACTATGTGCCTTGTCCCTCTGGCCAGGGTAAACGAAGTGGTAACGTAGTGTATTTATAGTCCATTTGTTTGTCAGAAAATGTGAAAGGGATCAAATTTTATTTATATTCAAACTTGGGCTGACTAGGCTAGCTAGACTTTTTCAATCCAAAATGATTAATTGGAATTAGTCAATAAACACAATAGCTGACATAGACTGTGAGTTAATTTTGAATTAGTCCTACAGTTGCATAGGGCAGGACTACACGATGCAAACCTGCATAAATCAAGCTCATCCCTGAGAGTTTTATTGTATAATCATGTTGCTTTCTTTGTGTTTGTGAATAGAAACCCCCCCTTATCCTTAAAAAATATATAATTAATATGAACAAGTACAAGCTTGCTGCAGTTTGACAGGGTTTTCATCCTCCCCAAGGCCAGGAGTTTTGTTTTTTTAAACCATGTGACCTGAATAAAAAAACTGGTCCCATATTAAACCTTTTTACAACTGATTAATCACGTCATACCGTATAAGGTCCAGAGTTTTACCTGGTTAGGTTACCAGATCAGGAAGAACTACGGGCCCCAGAAGTTTTTGTCCGCCACACCATTCTGGCACCTGTGGTGCCACCTCTGATAGAGATGATAATGCTCCAGAGAGCATTGCTGTAGAGGTCTAGACGTATGGAGTCAGCCCTTTGTGATCTCTCCAGCTGTGATATTTACTGAGAGAATATCAGCTCAGTTTTTCCATTCACTAAGACGTGGGGCACGTGAGGCTAGCTCCACAGAGAAGCTCTGTAAAACACAGCCCTCCACACACATTCCAAATGGCATCCTATTCCTTATGTAGTGCATTATTTTTTACCATGGCTCATAGGGCTCTGGTCAAAAGTAGTGCACTGTGTTGGGAATAGGGTGCCATTTGGGATGCAGCCACAGCCTTAATGGAGACTTTACCTTATCATCTGGAAATGGTCATCTGGTGGTGACTCACAGCTGCAGGTTGAGGTTACACTAGCCTGCGTCCCAAATGGCACTTTGTAGTTGGTAAGGTGCCATTTGGGACGTACATTGTCTAATGTTAGCGATGAGGACAGACTAGTGTGGTTCTGTGGTAGGGGATGATGAGAGAGGTATGGGGACTCAAAGTAGGGGCTTGGGGTTAGAACATTTCCGCCCACATTTTAGAGTTTAGAGCAGTGGTCACCAACCTTTCCTGAGTCAAGATCACTTTCTGAGTCAAAATGCAAGCCGAGATCTACCGCTCAGATGTTTTATTTTAAACATGACTTAAAAAACGTAAGCCTATGCCACATTAACCTATTAAAAACAGTTCTGTAGCAATAAGGTTTTTGCAGTAGGCTATTGGCCCAATACATTATCACTGCATATTGGCTATACTATAAATGCCCTGCCAATGTTGTTCTTCTCAGACCATTTTAAAATTATATTTAAAAAATGTAGGTATATAATCACACTGGTAATAGATCATTTGTTGTATTACTTGTGAGGCACAGCTGAGTGAGCATAACCATTTTTATTGTTTTATTTGACTGGCTTGCATCTGATGGTCAGTCTGAGAGGAGGGAGGGAAGGAGGGAGAGCAGCGGTGAGGCTGCCTCTCACCCAACTCACCGTCCCTCCGCTCTCCCTCCATTCGCTGAGAAAAGGGGACACAGTCTTCCAGCTGATGGCGAAACTCAAGTCGCACTGCATTATGTACCAATTCATGTTGTTACTCCTATGACCAGAGAAAGTTAAATATTCCTTGTGTTAAAAAAAGACACAAGCTGCTAATAACAATGCAAGCTTATCGGAACAATTTACTATACTCATTCATTGCAGCTGCAGTGCTGGTTGTGGCGCGAGTGGAAGTAGGGAGAACGCGAATGGCTTATCAGTGTTTTACAAAGTGTTGACAGTGCTGAATAACAACTTAGACATGAACTTACTCATAAAAACAGCGTCTGTTTGCTGTATTCATTGAGTCTGTCTAGTCATGGTTTTAAAAGTTTTGAGATCTCACAGTGTCAACTTCGCTGTGTTGGCTCGAGGAAACTGTGTAGACACGGTGATCTGAGCTATCTGATTGGCCAGCGGTAGGCCTATAGTTGCGCTTGATTTGCTCTCTGGGCCTGCCGGGTACGCAGAGTTCTACCAGACACATCAGACACATCAAATGATTCAAAATGGGAACACTTCGCTTTCCCTGTGTTAGGGCTGCTGAATCAGTGTTAAAATTTATTTCCATGAATTCTATAAATTTTTCCAGAGGGTGTAGAGAAAGTGTTGCAGTTTTAAAGCAACATTTCTGAAGTTCTTCACATTTTGCAATGGGGCGGAGAAACTTTTTAAGTTTTAAAACGAATTTCCTCAAATTCTACACATTTTGCCATGGGGTGGCGAGAAACTTTTGCAGTTTTAAATCTAATTTCCTGCAGGTTCTACACATTTTGACATTACTACCGCCAAGTTCACATGATATATGTGTGAGAGTTACTAACAAAATCAATGGGGGGCCCATGGAGGTCAGAGCACCTGAACACATTCCCTGCATGCCCGGTCGGTAATTTGGTGATGATTAGGCGCTGCAGTGGATAGCAGCCGTTTGACCGTAAACAGCTTCTGGACATCAGATCACTAACCTCGATTTGGATGACAATTTCTACTTCAATGAGTCAGCAGCCTTGGGTGAGACGGAGGGGGGAGGGGTGTGTCTCTTCGAGTTTTTACTCGCCTGAGTTATAATACCTCATGATAAGCTGTAGGGATGTAACGATTCACCGATACGCATCGGTCCCCGATTCAAATGTGTAAGATGCGAGTACATCAGTCCGCGGACCCCAAACCGATCCAAATGTAGCATGCATCAGTCAGAAAATCGATTCAAATGTTACGGATCGCCGGTTAACATTTCTATTTGATTTATTATTACATTATTACTACCTTCCAAAAATACCTCTCATCAACATGAGGTAGGCAGCCTGTTCCTGATCTGCCGGCACCTTCAGCATTCAAATGCTAAAATGGCTTGCGTGATATTAGGCTTTATTAGGTAAGTGACAACCTATGTAATTTGCTAGGTTATTGTTATCGATGCACTGTTGAAAATTGTGCTTTACTGGAATAAAAGAAAGCTACCGGAGACACAACTCTCATCTGGCTATACCTGCTGACCGGGGCTTACAATAGATTGTATTTCAATCATCAGCAATAGTTTTGATAATTTTGCTTTAAACAATCAGTTTATATGGTCATTTTTAGGTATACAGGGACAGAAAAGAAGCTCACTCCGTAAATCTTCCAAACGGTCAAAACTTTTTGATTTTGAGATGGGGTGAAATCCAAAGTTGTGCTATATTTTCATTGGCTATGTCATAGCTAATTTGTAAACAATAAATAGTGATACATTACTAGCTCAAACACTTAATCTGCAAAAATGACAGGTTAATTAGTGGGTGATGGTGATTTCACAACCAAAAAACATAGGCTACATTGCCCCCCCCTAATATGATAGTGGTAGTGGGGTGGTAGATGCCTAGTCTACCTTATGGCTCAGCTCAGGTGCCTACATAGTACATACACAATAGACATACATCATTTACACACACACACACACACACACACACACACAAACACACACACACGTTCCTGTATCGTATCGGAGCCCATGTATCTAGATAAGGATCAAATCGTCTTGTAATGGAAAGATGCACATCCCTAATAAGCTACAGACCATACTATTTACCAATAGTGTTTTCATCTACATTTTTTAGAGCTGTCTATTTACAACCACAAACCGATGCTGGACTAAGATCGCACTCAACGAGCTGTATAGGGGCATAAGCAAACAAGAAAATGCAAACCCAGAGGCGGCACTTCTTGTTGGCCGGT